TCCATACACTTTAATAATTGTCCTATTATGGCCAAAACCCCTGCGTGACAAAACCAGGAACAATTTGTGCTTTGCGGGAGTACTCCCACAGAGGAATGGTCCCTGAGGTAATACACCTGGCATTGGGAAACCCCTGGGGTGGCTATCCAACATCATAACACTGATAACCCTTTTAGCCTGTTTGATTCTTCCCATTTTCTTCTATTTCAACATCTGTCAGTTAGAGGGAATGGAAATAAGGAACAATAGATCTGCTACACAGTGGCATCCACAGAGTTTCTGCACAACAGAGCCAGGAAACTAAAACAGGCACCTCTAGCATGCACAGGTATGCGCAGGAACATATTTTCAGTTGGGGGGTTGCCCTGGATATGCACATGCAGTTAGCTTTTTTGGTTTTTATTACCATTGTCAGTCTGGATATGACCTTATAGGGTTCATTTTTGCCCCAAAGTGAAAACAGAGCAAGACCAAGTGAACAAACATGGAACCTTTTAGTGTCCCATTAGGGCACAGACATATCCCGGGTTTGAAAGGGTTTTTAAAAAGTAAAATTTGGCACTTGATACAAGAAGGGCAAGCCTCTGCAAAGCACAACCCTGCAGCCAGCATAAATCATACAGTCAAAATAACATTTGCTCAACATTCATGCCTAATTTTTTATGGTCCGTTTATTGTTGCGTTACTTGGTGCACTTGTCAAAATAACTTAAATATTGCTTATGTCACATTACATCATATCACAGGGGGCAAATGATTTCTATCAAATGCTTGAGTGGAGCTGGAGTGGGTATGGAGCATCTAATAATCTCACATCAATCTACTCAGGACGTGATATAGTAGATACGGGATACAATTACATAAAACTTCACACAGTGTCTGACAGGAGCCGCCCAACACACATGGCACATCTGTCACAGAGGTATTCAGCATGTATTTGGGCAGCTGTGGAAAATTCTTAAGTGATAGAGTCACATCGTACCTTAGGGTGCATCAGGGTTTACAGCTGTTGTACCAGTGATTGAATAATAATAGGGATAGTTGGTTGTTAAAAGTTACCCAGTGGAAATTCATACTGTCCTACTTGTATTGTCTCTGACTATAAATTACAATGACGGTCATAAATATTGAATAAGCAGTTATATGATAAATGAGTAAACAAGACAATAAACATGACATTATGAGAGTGAGAAAGCCAGTCCTGCTGGGAAGGCTGATGATGTCACTGCTCCGAGATCCTCTTTATGGTTCAGTCTGTCTCTCAAAAGTCCACAAATCATCATCTCAACCCCCAGCTCAGCACCTGGGAAATCACTCCAATACATGAACCCAGCCGACAGGCAGTAAACAGCAGGCAGCCAGCAACAAGCAGCGTCAGGAGCAGAAGAATAGCACGCCGGGCTAAACTTTAGAGAGAAGAGAATTGTCTGCATTGTGCCTCGGGTGTTAAGACAAACACACAGCTCTCTGCTTATGAAATCCTCTATGATTTCTTTTGAAGCTGTATACTAAAAATAGCAACTCCTGCAAGCCGGGTGTGAAACTCAACTGTTAACTGGCAAAAGATAAAAGCTGCTGATTTCTTAACTTAACTTATCACTCATGAGGAGTCTAATTAGATCTAAAGCTGTGTGACTATGTAACCTTGGTTGCCATCATATCCCTTTCTCCATATTTCAGATAACTCTACACTTCTTTGCCTTTCAAGAGAAGAATATTCATTATCTTGTAGTGGCACCCTAACAGAACAAAGGGAGAGGAGATGTGGTCAAGCTACTGTGGGAATTTGGATTAACCAATCTGCTAAATGCCCTCTGGGCAATTTCCCAGCATTGTTGACCACCTTCTCTCCGCCCGACCCTCCCCCTCTTTCTCTAAATTCCTGCATTCTTTCATTCTTTAACAGCAGTGTGAGAGTATTTGTCACCGCTCTGCTACTTCTCTGTAAGACCTGCACCCGCTTGCTGAGGCAAAAACTTCTGAAGGCAGATTTTACTGACCTCGCAACTTTGACTGTGAGTCAGAGACTGAAGTAACAGGGGCGTGGAGGAGACCTGACCGGGATGATCAGTGGAGATTATCCTGTGAACAGGCTCAAACTAGAAACTTTGGTCCTCCCAACATCCTCAGACGGGCCAAATCCTGACTAGATATTTGGAAACATGCATGATGTCGTTATCAGGCCGGGTTCTTTAAGACTTTTAAGATGATCATCATGTCATTTCAACAACATCTGCTCCCATGTAGATTCTTAACTTTATTGTTGTAAATCTGGTAGGAAATTGTAACACCAGACTGTCCAGATTATCTCAGATGGGTCGGAAATTACAAATTAAGTGAATGAAGTCTGCATAACTCACTATAATGCTGGGGCTGCAAAGCAAAAACAAGCTTCTACCATGAAGCAAGAAACAACAGAATACTTTGGTAAGTTGTACCGGACCAATAAAAAAATCAGGTGAAATGTGAGCTTTGTCCTGTCATGTATTGCAGAATTGTTTTGTTCAAGACCAGAGCAGTGATCTGCCTGTCTCATACACATGCACATTCACACAAGTGCAGTACAACCACAGAGCAGGAAAAAAAATACCTTTCTCTGATCCCACAGGTGGAGGTTAAAGGGTAGCTGAGCTCCTGCCACAATAAAACCAACTTTATTATTATATTTAATCAGCTACATACTTCTTCTCTACTCCTCCTCCTCGCTTTGTCTCCCTTGCATGTTTGAAATGAGTAGAGGGGAGATGAAGGGGAAAAACACTCCTTTGCTCAAGTCTGAAGCTCCACAGAGGAACTACTGTGAGGAACATTGTGTCCCCACACAAAAAACTGGAGCTTAACAGGCAGACACTGGTGGTATTAACTGTCTTTCTATTTCTTTCAAGTCTGTCCACGATCTATCTAAAGACGTTGTGGGTAGTAGTGAAGAGGAGAAACCTGGCTGCTTTACGGGTGAATATCACGTAACCACAAAGTCCTTGGCTTGAGTCCAGCTGGGGTCCCTCTACTCACGTCATCCCCCTCTCTCTACTTCCCCGAAGCTTCTTACTACTCTGTACTGTCAAATAAAGACAAGAATGCCATGACATGTTTTTTCCAGTAGGAATGTTAAATTAAGTTGAAGTAAAAGTCCTTTACAACTTCTCTTTAGACACAATCTTTCAAACTGTCCTGATTGTCATATCAAAACCATTTAGTGCTCTGTAACACACTGAACAACGCTATAATGAGGATTAATGCTTTTAGCGAGAGTTGAATTACAATTTGGCATTTATTGGGTGGTTTGGCCTCCACGTTGGGCAGTAATAATGACGACAGAGAAACAAAGAAGCACAGTGCTGTATGAGTTATGTTGTGTAAAAGGTGACATTTTCTTATTTTGCCAGAAAAGGCCAATTAAGTTTTTTTTATAACCAATCATTAATAACCATCACTTTAAAAAGATTTCTGTTTCCAACAGCCACTTCTTCACATTTATAATCACCACAGAAACAATATACTACAGAATCACTATTCAGTAGCTCTTATTTTCATCTGATTATTTAATGGTCTGCTGGACGACCCTCACACTACACACTCAATTCCCTCATGTTCTAAATAGGCTGGCTGTTCACTAATAATGTTTCTGCATTTAAAGCATAGTGCGTCATAAACTCTTATACCAGAATACTTTATGACAGCTGATGAGAGTGGTCAATAAGGCCACAGTAGTGGAAAGACTTAGTGTCTGTCTCAGTGACACTTTGCTGATACAACAAACATACTTGTGTGACACAAAGGACTTATCTGCCTCAAATATACACAGCCATTTTTCCCCCTGGCTGCACTGACTGCAGGGCAGAGAGATGCCACTCATAACTGATGGGGCCCTTCCTCTGTTAGTTAAACCACTAACAAAGCCATGTTAGCTTAGTCACTTTGGCACTTTGCTCCAGAGAGCAGGGCCTCCTCTGTATTGAGTTTCTCCAGCGTGTGTGAGGTTTTAGTGAGGGTCTCTGAATTAGGAACAGACAGTCGCTCTGCCAACAATAGCAAGACATTCAAGCAAAGGGAAGGGTGGGAAACAAAACAGCAGAAAGTGTCTCTGGGATACGGACATCAAGGGGAAAGGCATCCACCACCAGAGCTGCATGTGATTGTTAGACCCCTCTCACATTCTTCACATCTGCACTTTCAACCTGCCTCTAGTCAGAAATTTCTCAGACTCTTCCTTTGATTGTTTATCTGATCCACCAGCCTGCATGACCCCCATGCAGACCATACAAAGGCGCGCGCGCACACAGACACACACACACACACACACACACACACACACACAGACAGGCTTTACGCATGACTTCCCAGAACTCACCCCCAACTCCCTACCCCCACCTTCAGTCCTGCTGTCAGACCAACTCAATGTCTCCTTTCATCCCTTCACCTGCAGAGTCCCTCTTTGATAACTTTATATTATCTCGTATATATGAGACCAAAACACACTACAGGACCCTACCTGGGGTGGGCCCCCCCTGTTCATACCTGGCAGCCCTGCTGTTTTAAAGCCCTGTTTCCACAGGTTTGTGCTGAATCATAAGGTTGGGACCGTGATTAAGGGTTAACCCAACATGCACTGCAGCTCTTTCATCTTCTCCCACAGTGTGCAATTTGGAGGCTGGCAGACACGCGAGGTAAGTGCATCGTAAAAAAAACGCAGCAACAGGTCTGCGAGCCGATACTGACAATGTGTTATTATAATTAACGCGGACACACGCTGCTTTTCATTACAACACGCTCCACTGCAGATCACATCGCATCATGCACTGTGTGCACTCTGAGGAGAGCCTGCTGAAAGTGCGCATTGGATGGGGGGAAAAGACGTCTATAGCTCTAAAACTGGCCATGATAATAGGAAAAGTACTCATACTTGCAGAAACCTTTGCACAACATTGTTTGAAAACTTATTGTAAGAGTCGCGCCAGCCCACTAAAGTCACGGTTGCATCCCTGTTTGTGCGTCTCTCACCAGATCGCTATGCGCTCCTTCGGGTACTCCAACCTCTCGATGCAGCCCAGGTGGTGTGGAAGACTGTGCGCCGCGTTACGAGCCACAATGGCGATCATAACCTTTGGCTTCAGCAGGCTAGACTCGTGCTTCACCGGCTCCTGCACCAGCGTCACCAGCTCCGACACGCCACCGGGCACCAGAGCGGCCAGCAGCGCCCACAGCACACCCACGACTCCCACGGCCCCGAGCGCCCGCATCTTCGCTTCCAGAGTCCGCCGTGAGTCCTGAGACTGAGCGAGAGAGCTGTGTGTGAGTGAGGGAGAGCGGGAGTGAGCTACGGTGGGAGGGGGAGTGAAGGAAGGAAGGTAAAAGAGGGGGGATAGGGTGGGTGGAGAGCTTCCTCTTTTACCCCTCCTACACCTACGCCCCTGCTGATGGCTGCCCCTGCGTGCTGCTGGTGTGGAGCCTCTCCCTCCCCCTATAATAGATCTCACACACACACACACACACACACACACACACGGTAGAAACAAGAAAGGGGCTTGAACGCATCAACTAGGCTACTAATGATTCATTTCTTTGTAGTGAATGGTGAATGGATTGTGTGTTACAGCAGTTGAAGGACACCATGTTCTAAGTCACTGCCCGTGATGTCGGTCTGCAGCCTGTTGATCCATCTCTGCTTCTCCTCCTTAATTCTTCCTGCATGTTTTCTGAATGTTTCTTTCCTTTTCCACGCCTTCGCCCTTGACAGTCTCTTGGATGCTGTAGAGCTGGAGACCATGAAGTCACCAGCTCTGACATCAACCCTCCGACACACTGCTGCACATTCTTACGTCTCCTCTTCTGGAGTTACTGTTTTTATTTCAACAAATGTATTGCCAAAATGAAAAAGAGCACTATATAACAATATAATACATTATTTAGAATACATCACAATGTAGTTATAAGGAGCTATAAACTAGGTACAGTTTAAGTGTTTATTAATATAATATACTTAAAATGATCTCATATTTGCTAACTATATTATAGTGTGTTATAAACCATTTATGAAATGTTCATATACTGCTTATAAATGCTAACGGGGGTTGGGTAAAAAAAAAAGTGAATAGTGCAGGTTACAGAATGGATATCAAATTTTACAAAATCAACATATGCAAAGAAAACATGTCTCAACTTTTGTTGATCTTTCAGAATAAGTAAGGATTAAGTGTTCCTTTATGGGTTGAGAAAATAGACAATAAGCTAAATAAACCATTATGTAACCCCATTAGATTAGCTTAGAAATGTATTATCACAAAGACAAGAAAACAGAAAATAAAATGTAAATGAGTCTAAAAAATGTGAATGAATATATTAATGACATGACTTAAGTGTATAAGAAAGTTTCAGTCAGTGGCATGAAACAATGAACAACATTGGCACCAAAACAAAACATCTAGTGCATGACAGAAGAAAATATGCCAAACCAAAATGCCACTATAACACAAACATTTAACCAAAATGGCACCAAAACAAAAACAACTTCTTAGCTTTGCAAACTTTCCACAGAAAATCCGAAGTTTTCTGTAAATATGTGGAATTACTATGTAGAGTCAATAGAAAAGAATCCACAACGATATGCTACCAGGTCCAAAAGTTGGCATCCATGCTCTACATGCTATTATAATATTACACTGTGTGTTCTTATATGATTACAGTAACACCCCAGTAACCCTTTTTAATTATAGTGCCGTCACAGCACAGACAGTCGGGCAAATCCCACTTGCTTCTGTCCCTGTCTCGTCTCTGCTCTGTTTATTTAAGCTAGGATCTCTGCCACCTGGTAATGTTTTCCCTCTTCGTTGAGGTAATGAGAGTACTCTGCCATGTTCTCTGTTGTTGGATGCTCTTAGTCACTGCAGATGAGAGACAGACAGACAGAGAGAGAGAGAGAGCAATGATTTCAATATGTCTTAGTAATGCCTTAGCTCCCTCTAGTGCTTTAGTGCTTTCCCCAGTTAAGATGTGTAAAAAAAAAAACACCAACACACGTAGGACGCTACCACTAAAGTACAACCTTCCCACACCAGATGCACTAGCTTATAACCCCCAGACAACACTGAAAATTCACCAAAAAAAAACTGCTCTGGGGTTTGCTGACATTTTAAACCTGCAGTTTAGCTTTTATCCCCGCACACAGCTGTCAAAAACAAAGGTCAGAGCTCAGGATCAGTCTGCTCATTTTGGGATTCGCTCAGAGGCACGTAAACAGTAACTTCTAGGGCCAAACTCTACTCACACTGGACTGTGAATGTTTAGCTTTCAACCCAGAATAAGAGGAAAATGCATATAAATAAATGACTAAACCAAGTCACTCCGCTCTGTACTTTCTACTCAGTTTTCAAAAAACAACCTCACCCTGTTGGCCGAGTGTCAGGATTCAACACCGGGCAGTCTACGATCCATTTTCATTATTCAAATGGCTCGTGGATTCCCTCATCTGTCATAGGAAAACATCTGCTTTGTAATTTTGGTTGCGTACTTGACATGCAGCCATTTGTTCCTCTGTAACTGAACTATGGATGACAGATAGAGCAGAACTGTATAATTTTTTTTAGTTATGTATGGGATAAGGGTGTTTTAAGGACTGCCAAGTATTTGGTTTGTTAAAGTGTGGTTGCAGAGAAAGCCTAGCTTAAATAGCTAGCTTTAAATAGCAGGGTAAATCCTTCATAACTAGGTTCAATAAATAGAAAGAAATGTCATGAACCAAAACTCCAGGATAAAAATGCACCACATGTTATATAGGATTGTGGCACTTCTTCACAAGGTTCATTTTCCAAAAAATGGACAGATGATGATTTCATGCCACCAAAACATAATATATAAGGGAAATGTAATGTACAAAAAACACATTGCTATGAGCCTCAAGTATGAGATATTACAGGTACAGCACATAAAATTTTTGCTCTATGTACGGCTCAGTGGAAACAAGTAATTTCAGGAGAGGAGAGGAGAGAGCTGATTCATGTGTGTGTGTGTGTGTGTGTGTGTGTGTGTGTGTGTGTGTGTGTGTGTGTGTGTGTGTGTGTGTGTGTGTGTGTGTGTGTGTGTGTGTGTGTGTGTGTGTGTGTGTGTGTGTGTGTGTGTGTGTGTGTGTGTGTGTGTGTGTGTGTGTGAGTGTGTGGGTGGTTTAGGACTTCATGCCTTCCTAATGGCTGTCTGGGTGATGTACAGCTCCAATAGATAGTGCCTTATCATGCAGAGAGCTCTCGGAGGCAGCCCATGCACGTGCGAGTGTGGGTCATTTAAAAGCCCGAACCAGCAGGTGGTGCTCTTGTTTTATCCTTGATCTCTTTCTTTGTCACTCTCACACACACACTGATACATACACACACATACACACACACTGTCTTGTATTATGGGAACCAGACAGCGTGAGAGAAAACCACTCATCCTGGTCAGATGATTGAGATTGCTGAAATTGTCTCCTTGAAGCTCCTGCCACTGTTGCACAGCCACAGTCTCCTCAGTACCACTGGGCTCAAGTCACCGGTCCTGCTCCAGGCACTGACCGCTTGCTCAGCTAATGTGAATTTGGCAGACTGCAGTAAAATACAATACGAGGGAAGAACCATAAAGCAATCAGTGCTCTCTGGCTATCCATTTCAAGCTTTCCTCTGCTGGTCACTTCAGTGATTCAGGGAATTCAAAAAAATGTCCAATGTAGCTGAGCCATCAAATTGTGCACTTGACATCAAGTAGTTGCATCCAAACAGTTGCATATTTGTTTATGGATGAAAAATGGTGTGTTTACACTGAACAATTAGCTTCCTAAGATTTAAGTAGGTCACTTCTTGTGGATGTGCAGCATGAATGCAAATGCATCTAATTCTACCTTCCTAAAGCCTTGCCCCCCCCCATCATGTGAGTTGCTCCTTTGCCAAGGTAATCCAGAGTATGGATCTGCATGGAGAGGCTTTACATACAAGGGGAGAGAGAAGCTGGGCTGACTTAGAGACACAGGAGTATAGTTGGTGTACTGTAGATGGATGGAAAAATCATACTTCTCCACAGACTGAGTGAGGGCAAGATGGTTAAGAGGCTGGTGCTGCCACATTTCTAAACAAATGTGTTTTGAGCTACTAGAGGTAGATTACTCCAAAGTGGGTATTAGGCAGCGAGGAACTGCTGGAGAGAGTTAAGACACTGAGCAAAGGCCTGCTGGGCATCCAGGCAGAGATCCATCCCTTTTCCTCTCAGGGTTGACTCATACTCTCTATGTGGGCAATGTTTGCATGTACACATATACACACAAATACACACACACACAGTCAATTTAAAACTGTTGTGGAAGAGACAGACAAACCTGCCAATATAAGAGAAGTAATACAAACCTTTTTGATTCATGAAATTGAAAATCTCACAAAGACTTTGTGTTTGAATCGTTAGATGACCACAATTTCGTTAATTCAGTGGTTTTGTCTTACCTTATATAAATCATTATGCCACAGAAATGTAAAACCTTTGTAAAGAAAAAACAAAAGCATGTAAAATATGTAGGAATGACAATGAAAAGGTAGGCCTAGGTCAAAACTGACTTTGAGACTTTGCTCCACCTAATAGTTGGACAACAGCTAAAGCTAATTTACTGGCTTTGTCTCAACTGTTTCCTGTAACTGAAAAATCAATTTTAATGCTGCATCGTCTTGGTAATTGATTTTGTTTTACCACACTAATAAGGCAGCAGTTAAATCTAATGGTAAAAGCAACACATAAAGTCCCGCTAAAAGCTAACTAGCCTAGCTTATAGTAGATGCCCCTTTGGCCATCCAAACACAGCGCATTATCTAATTTTGTCTGACCATGATTTGTTTTTGGCCTAGTAGCCTTCAAACTTCAAAAGCTTTTCTCTCATCTTCATTTCAGTGTTTTGAGGTGTGGCACATTATGTAAGCTTAAGGTTCACTGCTGAAAGGCCCAGTCTGTGATACAAATATAGCCTTTAAGGTCATTCCACCAATAAAATTCAAAACACAGGACCCTGCTGTCAAATTGATTGGCAGGTCTTTTAATACATGGATTAACGCTAGACATCAACTAATTCCAAGTTATTAATGTGTTTGCATCAGTAATGTTTGCAAACACGGCAGTAATAATCTCATTTATGGAAAGAAGCTACTGATTTTTCCTCATTAAGACAAATGTTCAGCTATGAATGTGAATTTGGCTCAGATTTATTTAAGGATCTGGACTTCAATCACATTAGCAGCCAAGAACATGTTGTACCCTAATAAGGACTCTCACACTTTGGGCTCTATTTCACGCTCACACACACACACACACACACACACACACACACACACACACACACACACACACACACACACACACACACACACACACACACACACACACACACACACACACACAAAACAGTTAAACACACACACACACAAAGCAGGGAGGAGGAGTGGACTCTTTATTGGTACTTACGTCAGGGTGGAAAGAACATTTTCTTGCCCATATTCCTGTCTGAGGTTAACAGGCAACATCCCTCTCTTCCTCGATCTCTCCCTCCCACATTCTCACTTTCCCAACTCCCTCGTCTTAATTTCTCGCTCTTACCTCGCCCACCTCCCTCTGTCTGCCCTCACCACACGTTTATTTCTGTGTGGGAGAGCCTTGCTGAGAGCACAGGCCCACAGGGACCCTTTCACGCTGCTGATGTGCACAGTGGCTGCACATTGTAACCTTATGTGCTCCTGCAAGTGAGTCATGCGAGGTAAAGAAGGAGTTTGTCTGTGTGTTATGTGTTGGAGAGAGACTGTTGGGTATTAAAGGAACTGCCAAGCCACTGAGTGCTCCTTTCATAATGTGGTAATCAAATTAACCATTGACACTCACTCAAAGCACGATGGCGTCCAATCCCACAGGGAGCACATTAGGCCGAGCTTAGGAGCAGATATCGATTCAGCTCTCGGGTTTTATATATTAACACATCATGTAGTAATTTGTAAAGAAAAGTTACCCAGTTGATATCTGTCTTATCATTAAATTGGTCATAAAACAAGTGATCAGGATTTATCACGATGAATTACGACTGTTTTTTATTGCACCTTTGTTGGAATTATCGAGGAAGAGCTGCTTTGATTTCTGTTGATATCTTATCGTTGATTTCCCTGCACAGACACTCCCATGAAGGGCCATAAAGCAACAAATGATTACTAAGAGTAACCCACAGTTTCTGTGCTTGTATTTCTATACTTTAAACCTGCAATAACAGATTTTTTGGCCACTTGGAGGCAATGGAAACACTGATACTGTCGCCTTATAAAGTTGATATAGTGAATGTGATGTGGTGAATGTTAGCACTTACACATCCAACAGTACAGAGTAACATTACCATTATTTTGAGTCATGTTTGTGTTTACCTGAAACAAATTTAAGTAATATATTTACTCTCCTTTAGCTTAGGTTTTGGTCTACACCAACTCCTGAGGAAACTATCTGGCTCTTTACCCACTAAATGCTCCAATATGTTCACTAGTTAGTTACTAACTGTGTCTGTCTGCTGTTTGTTGATTTAGGGAGTGTGCGGTGGGTTTGTCAGAGCCTTTTTGCTGAAGTAGCCAGAAACTATGCTGATGGGAGCTGTGAGCGTGAACCAGAACAGTAAAGTTGCGACCGACTTTTACATTATAATTAGTCATCTAAAAATATTAGTTAGTTTAGCTTTAACTGACTTTATTTTCAGTTTCACTGTAAAGTGAGACTTTTTTTGCCGAATAGCAGCCACTGTGGCAAATGACAATTATGGGATTATGGTTAATATTAAAATATAATAGTTAAAGTAAAGGAGACACACAAGGTTATAAAACTGAATCTGTAATGTCAGTTACACCACAACATTTATCTAAAGTTTGTTAACATTTGCTACTAATGAGCCCCCATCAACTACTGGACATAGCAGAGCAAGTAAGGATGTAAGCAAAACTCCTGATTGTATCAAGGGTTGTTTATTTCTTATGTATCTAACTTTTAATGTAAAATAATAATTCTTTGGAAATTATCATCTCGCTTTTAATGTTCTATTGCAACTCTTTTCCTGATGTAAATCTCTTTGAATCACCAGTGTTTGAAAGATGCTAAACCTTCCTTGCCTCAACAGTTATTGGACTGACTTTGAATTTGTTCAATTCATGTCATCTGAAGGACATTCATCTCCCAGCTAGAGTTTAATAAAATTACAAATATGCTTAGTCGTTCTTTCATAAGACATGTTTTTTTTCTAATCTTTTTTTTTTTTATTAGATTGTGTTTACTGCTAAGTTGTTAGTTGAAGAAGAGGGAAGAGGAAGAAAAATCTGATGAACTCAAAACCCCCCTCACGCAGACATAATGTTAAATTGTAACTTTAATCGTGGGCGAAATGTTTACAGGAACATATTGCCTGCTAGACTGCAGTGCTGAGGTTGTGCCAGCAGGTGGCATAACGCAGTCTTGGTGTTCTGAGTGAATCTGCTCTGACTGCATGGCTTTAGGCAGTATGACCACAGAAAAATAGACCGACTTCACACTCCTCAGTACACTGCCAGCATGACTGCGCTCCATTACTCAGCTCATAGCAACACACACACACACACACCACACCACACCCACACCCACCCACACCCACACCCACACCCACACCCACACACACACACACACACACACACACACACACACACACACACACACACACACACAATCCAGATACCAAGATGCCACGCACGTTAAGAGCTTCTTCGTTTTTAATTTTAATAGAAAAAACGTATTCAAAATAATACAACAGGAAGTATCCAGTAAAGATGACAACAAAAGATGTGATCAGGTCTGTGTCTATATGGCAACCACGCATCCTCCCCTTGATCTCAGCCCAGTTTGCTGCTTCAGTACCTGTGTGTTTGTGTTTGTGTGTGTGTGTGAGTGAGAGTGTGTGTGTGTGTGAGAGAGAGAGAGTGTGTGTGTGTCTGTGTGTGTGAGAGAGAGAGGTGTGTGTGTGTGTGTGTGTGTGTGTGTGTGTGTGTATGTGAACACTAAACCAAAGCAGAAATGGAGCTTTACAGAATACCTCTGACTGATGCACATGACAGTCTGCTGGTGAAATGAAAGGGATACAATAATGCGTGTGTTTGTGTGGTTAATATGTACATGCTGCGGGTGTGTAGGGATGAGAGTGTGCTACCATATGTACAATAAAAGACTGTGTGTGTGTGTGTGTGTGTGTGTGTGTGAGCTAGGATCTGCAGTGTGATGGTACATATGAAGGAGGATGGATCGGGTTGAGACACAGATGCTCTGAATTAACGCAGCTTCAGTCTGCCTGCTGTGGTGATGAGGATGATAATGACATTGATGATGATGATACACTACGAAGGAAGCCAAGAATAAAAACAAACTGAAGAAAAAGGAAAAAATAATAACTGAACATGTGGCTGCGGAACAGATTAAAAAAAAAAAAAAAAAAAAAAAAAAAAAAAAGGTCCTTGACTTCAGAAGGCAGGAGGAGTTTAGAGTTTCTAAATCACCAGCTCGCTCCCTACTCTCTCTTATTAAAATATCACAAATTTCTCACTCTTTATTCTCCACTTTCCCTCACCCTCCCTCACCCATTCTCTCAGTCCCTCGTGGCCCAAGCAGGCCTGGCTGTATGTAGGCAGGCCAAAAAGTTCAGTGTGGATCCTGGTGGCGTTGCGTAACTCCTCTGCCTTCACCATCTTTTCCTCCCCTGGGCTTCTTGTGTGTCTTCTCGGTAAACCGACACTTGTCCCTACTGGGTCTCCATATTTTGGGGAGTTCCTTTTGTCGAGTTGCCGGGGTTAAATATTCAGGAGGTACAGATGGACAGATACGGGGCGGGGGGACAGATGGAGGGACGAGGAGCTGCTGTTGTCCTGCTTAAGGAAAGTACTCTGTTTGACCCGACTGTGGCAAGTCCTTCTCTCCCGTTCACGGTGACATGTGCCCATCCGTCGTCACGTCCTCCTCCATCTCTCCCTCTTTTCATCTGTCTGTCCCTTCATCGCTCCGACACCTCCATCTGTCTGCTCAGGGGCCTGAAGGGGTGAGGCTCTAAGAGAGGAGGGCTGTAGTCTCTGAAGAAAGTGTTCTTTATCCCATTATTTCTTTCTCTCTCTCGTTCTCTCACATTTATCCCCCACTCTTTCACTTTTGATTAAAATACTATCTTTGCCATACACACACACATGCTCATTCCAACACATAGTTTCCTGTCAAATCGACGCCTCATTGGTAAAACACTGATTCAACTCTCTCTCTCTCTCTCTCTCTCCCTCTCCCAGGCACACATAAGCACACATGTACGCATTTACACTCACGCACACACACACATCCACACACTGTGAGGCTCTCTGTGGGGCTGAATCTTGGGGGCCTCTGTGCTATGTCCCATCTTCCTCCTCCCCCTCCGAACAGTAGTCTCGCCCCTACAAAGAAAAGCATCAGGGAGAATATGAGATGTGCATAATTTTCCTGCTTTCTCTACTCTAATTTGTTCCAGTTAAGTACACCCAATAATAACCTACTTTAAATGACTCTGTACTGTTTGCATTCGGCAAAAAAAACCCACGCACCTGTTACTCCAGTCACGTTTAAAATGAACCCTCGTCTATTTGCAGGTACTGACATAGAAAATACTGGATGAGGCTGTAAAGTGCTGACAGGTGAGCAGGTATGTTGTTTTGTTTCTTGCATCGTGATAAGGAGCTAACTCATCTGCTTTCCTCTCCTCTCCAGAGCCCACCTAACAGCTTGTCTAACGCTACACTCTGTGTCTCTTTAAATAAGGCTTTAAAGGCGCAGGCTGCCTCAGTAGTACACTGCAAATCAGTGGTGGAAGTGCGTTTACAAAAGTAGGGTGCCTAAGTACTACTTTGAGGTACTTAACTACCATATTTTCCATTTTATGCCACTTTAGACATTTAATTCACTCATTCATTTTTTAATCTCCACTACATTTGTCTGACATTTATGGTAACCTGTTATTAAGCACATTACAGTTGAAAGGATTAGTTGATTAATCAATTAGTCTATCGAAAAAATCGTTAAGTGCAACAGTTTGGATACTTGATTAATTGTTTTTCAAGCAAAATGAAAAAACTACTAGATGCTTTTCTTTGTCTTATGTGATAGTAACCTGAATATCTCTACACTGTTTGTCTGCCAAAAGAGCAGCTTTAAGTGTATTTTCTTGATATAAGCAAAAATTGGAATGCAGGACTGTTTCCTGTGACTTATATTTAATATTTCTACTGCAACCTGAATACCTCTGAAAACACACTGACAGGGTTGAAAAATGAAATGTAGCACACCAAAGCTGAATCGAGCCGCTGCTCACTGTCAGTTCACTTTGCAACCTCATCTATAGTCAGCAACAACTGGTGTAATTCAAGTGGCAGACTAAGAGGAGTAAGTGCTCATCACTACAGCGATGACCTGTTCCTCCCCCTCACACATGTGGAGCCGAGTGTTGAGCTCCTAAGCAGAATGACAATGTGGACTAATGGATGTTGTTGTACAGCCTGTCTCTTTAAATGTTAAGACCCAGCTGTTTCTTTAAACGCTCCGAGACCCAGTCTGTGCCCCTTAAACACACACATATACACACACACATATACACACACAATCCCCCCCGCCGCCCCTCACCTTCTCAATCTTCTCATCCAGCATCCTGAAAAATTCCTGCTGGCTCTCTGACGTGTGAATACTGAGAGAGAAAGAGAGAGAAGCGAGAGGGAGGGGGAGAGGAAGTTGGGAGACGAGGAGAAGGGAGGCAACAAATACATCATGAGAATTTTCCATTACACCCCCCACACAGCACAAACACACCAGTGTACACACACACACACACACACACACATACACACACACACACACACAACCCTCACTGCAGTGTGAGAAATCCATGGTTGCTGGAGGAATTTAAATAATTATTTTATAAAGTATTAACCCAGTCTCTCATCCAAAGGCTAAATACTCTGCAGCCACCAACAACCAATATGTATACATATACAAAGACTCAACACACACACACACACACACACACAGACACAGACACAGACACACACACACAGACACACACACACAGACACACACACACACACACACACACACACACACACACACACACACACACACACACACACACAGCGTCTGAGGTTGGCCAAGAGGCAGCATTACAAAAACCAGACACAAAATATCACTTACCTCCACATCATAATATTAACATACTGATTCTAAGTTGCATTTAATGGACACTGGACATAATGGAAATAACAGTTTATTAAAAGGGTCAGTTTCATTGGAACAATTTCAATTAAATTAATACTCCCACAGTAAGCTGGCAAAACAATACCATCACAACATCAATCAGTAGCTGTTCTGGAGCTTTCAGTTATAGCGCACAATCTTCCTCAGCAGATGAAGTTTGCCCGGTTGTCACAGGAGTGTAAATGTTTTTTCTCCACATTTTAAGGACGTCTCGTCCATGTAAACGGATTACAGTGAGGTCTATGGATTATCAATAGTAACTGTAACATTGTTTTTAGAAGGACACGTTGCTGTTGGAAATTTTAAATAGAACATTTCAATGCGAGCACCACAAATCTAATTCAATTAGTCTAAACGTGATCAATTAAATCCAAAGCTATCTGTAGGCTGCTGCTGGACGTAAGAAATATGTAACCAAACTGTGAACCAACCTTTTAACAATGTTGGTGATCAAGTGTTCAAATAATCAGAGTTGTCTATAATATATAATAATAATATAATATATAGATCATATATTTTTATACAATATCCAGATTTACAGCGCACAGACTGCTGCTGGCTACTTACTTTGACTTGATGTTTGCTGCAGCGACCTCTTTCTGCGGTTTGCCCCTGTACTGCGCATTACTCTTCTCCTGAAAGACACACACACACACACACACACACACACACACACACACACACACACACACACACACACACACACACACACACACACACACACACACACACACACACACACACACACACACACAATTACTCTTCATTATCAGCTGATAAAAAAACACAATAAAAAACAAACAACTCATATTAGCAAACAGCCACACCACTGAAAGCACACATCAAACCTGCATTATCAAATTACATCCTCACCCACCTGGCACTGCACAACATCAGGACACCGAGGACAGATATAATGTATGTAGGTCTAAATAAAACTGAAACTCCGATGAAGGTTGGCCAGCATGAGCTTTGTGTACAGTTTCCTGCTACGGTGAAATATTGCAGCGATTCAACCCAAAAAACAAAAAAAAAGCTGTAACCTGCATCTGTCACTGCTCACTGTGCGGGTGTGGGAATTCCTCTGTGACAGGAAAAACCTACAGTACTGACAAGTGGTAGGAAACAAATGCTGGTCTGACCACATGTAGTGACTGTTCTGGAGGTTAACCTGGTAGTGTAAAAAATGCGGTTGGGTCTTCCAATAACTCATTCAACTGAATAACATATCATATCTTCCGTTTGAAACAAGATATTTAAACTATTTCTGAGGTTCAAACAATGTGGTCTTTTTGTGACAGAGTTTGTTGTATCCAAGAGATATTAGGAAAACACAAATATGCTTTCTGCATGAGGCTGTCAACAGGCCATAATCTGAGCAGCATTTTATCTGATTTCTTCATGTGAAATCTTTTCTTGTGCTGCTGTGGGATCAAATTTCAGATGATAAGAGATGCTTCCCCTCTGGTTGTAGCCAGTTACTGTGATAAGGCTGGTATTTGAGCTGCAGTAATAAATATTAGTGGCGATGGGAGACTACTTCTGTTTTTTAATCAGGATTTATAGTTACATTGGTTATTATTTCCCCGCTTGCAAGGACACCAGGCAGGCTGACCTGATTTACTGAATAAGCAAACAGGCTCTCGCTTCACACCTCCTCCGTCATTCAATGTGTTGAGAAGGATATAAATATGTGCAAGCTTTATAAACTGGAGGTTAAACGTGCAAGAGGGGTTGGATAGTTATTAATACAAAAAAATTACAATATAACATTTCTTTCCGCTGTTTAAGACGACAGGTTTAGCAGTACGGAGTCAAATCAACTGAGCAATCAGCCCCCACATTCCACACACGCCAGCATGTTGTCTCTACCTGCGTGTGAGGAACCTCTGTGTGTTTTTGCATGTGTGCAAGAGACAATAAGTGTGTACGTGCGGGTCTGACAGAGCTGCCTTTGTACACAAACACGAGCTTGTTCGCTTGAGCTGATAAACTGTCAGAGAAAGGTCTGAGTCTGTGTGTGGATGACGGGCTGTCAGTGGGTGGGTTTAGTGTGTGTGTGTGTGTGTGTGTGTGTGTGTGTGTGTGTGTGTGTGTGTGTGTGTGTGTGTGTGTGTCTCTCTCTCACCAGGTTCTCCTGGTTGCGTGCATTCACCCGGTTTTCATCCCCTCTCATGTACTTCACCTCCTCCACTCCCTTCATCTTGTATTCATCTGAGGAGAGAGTGGTTTGGAGACAGAAAGAGAAAGAGAAAGAGAGGGCGAGAGATAGAGAGAGAGGCATGATTAAAGAGAGAGAGCAACAACAACCTGTATTTATCAGGCGTCTCCCAGAGAAGAAACACTGAGCAGATTCCTTTCATTCATCCTGGTCAATCTGATCTGAAAAGCTAAAATAATTGACCTATCAGCTACACTGTACTCTCACTGCATTATGTCAACATTACCAGTGACCGTAACATTGATTTTAGTTATAATTTGTCTGACATAATCCGATAACTACAACCTGATACAGTGTTTTAGAGAGTGGATATGACAGCTGAGGTATAATTAGGAGGACACTAGTCATCTCCTTTCCATTTTAGCTACAGCAACTCATCTGAGGAAAGAGAAAAACAAAGCAAGAGGGAATACACGTGTATGTGAAGTAAGAGGAGACAGAAGAGACATGAGGGAAGGGGAAAAGGGAACAGATAAGAAGGAGAAAGCTGGCAGGGATTAAAGATCAGTTGAACAGCTTCTAGGCTACATGGACAGCTTAGACATTTAAGACAGTTAAGACGAGCTGAGCGGCGAGAACAGCAACACTTCCGCGAAACTGCACAGCGACGCCACCACGTCCCACGCTAAAGGTAGAAACGAGGGCAATAAACCAAATGTGTTGAATTAACAGCGCCGTGCATCTCTTACTGAACGAGTCCAATACAACTAAAATAGATGCAACGACCAGTGAGGTAAAACCACAAGTTCAGTCTCATTCTCCAATCCAGAAGTTTGAGATCTCTAACTGGTTTATACCGTATTAATCAGGACAAACTGAGTAAGCGAGAGGAGATAAAAGGTTCTTATACAAATTAGTGTGAAAGTTGATACATTATGTCCTACAGATTTAAGATCATACTGTCCAGCCTGCGTAGAAATGAAAGTGTAGTATTTTAACATTAAATAAATCATTAACACATTAATTTTGAGACATTGTAGTGAGATTTGGAGCCTCTACTGACCTCAAGATTGCGGGATGGACAGGAAATTAATCTGCAGCAGAATTGATAATCAGTTAACCACTTTCAAGTAAAAATATATCTTTGGTCTTTTACTGTTGTTCAGAGGAATTAAGACATTTGAAGACGTCACATTGGGCTTTGGGAAACGGTGACGATGTAATTGTCACTAGTTTATAGACAAAATGATTAATTGGGAAAATGATCTGCAGAGTATTCAGTTATGTTAATACTAATTAGCTGCTTTCAATCTATCTACTAACTGCTCAGCTAATGCTACGTTTAAAATCACACCCTTGTTCACTCATTCACTATTCCCTACTTCAAATACACCCAATAGTTTACTCTATAATGAGCGATAAATGGAGATTATTGTATGGATATCAACCTTTTTTTATTAAGTACATGTGGTTTTTAAATCTAGACAATAGAAAATAATATCACCATAAATCTGACAGTGATGTAAGATGATATGAAGTCTAAAATCTCTACATACAGCACCTTTACATAAAACCCAACCCTACCTAACCTTGAGCAGAACAATACAAGCCTGCTGGTTTTTCTGCTGACTACCTGGTTGTTGGACATTTAACTGATTAAGCAGCCAAGACGCCGACACACACACACACACACACACACACACACACACACACACACACACACACACACACACACACACACACACACACACACACACACACACACACACACACACACACACACACACACACACACACACACACACACACACACACACACACACACCTCTATGCCTTATCTGTTGCACTCTTTGTATTTTGCCCTCTCTCTATCAGTCTGTCTGTCTGTTTATCCATGTGTCTGTCTGTGCCACTTTGTACCCAGCTGAAGGGTTCACTCCTCCCTCTGCTCCGCTGCCTCACAATCCACCTCGCACCTGGATCACCTGTGTGTTCGCTTCTGAGTGTGTGCCCGGGATCACCTGTTTTTCCTACATTTGACACGTGCGTCACTGAAATCATTTCGAGGAGCGAGGGGGAACAGAAGGAGGGAAGCTGGCTGATTCATGAGAAACAGAAGAAACAAATGCCGACTACTACTCGGCTGTTCTGTTTGTCTCAGGAATGTAAACGAGTCGTGGCGAAGCAGCTCCTGTCTGAACATGCCGACACACACACACACACACACACACACACAAACAGTTTTATAACACTACACAGGCTCACTAAACTGAGATCTGCTCTGTGAACAGGCAGCACATACAGTGCGGCAGCAGGAAACAGAATTAAGAGCCACTTCCTCTGCACTCTTGCATATTACAGGTGCCATCCACATCAGTTTCAAGCTATATAATCTGTACCTTAAGGTGGATACATATGAATAGAAAAGGAGTAAAATTAGCTGCTGCCGTGGGCTACATAAATAAATCTAAATGGGTATTTTCAAGCAGCAGTTGAGCAAAATGTCGTTTTATGATTTGGGTGAGCTGCAGCCTGACGGGTGAAACAGGCTGACTGTTCTGCTCCTGTTACAGGATAGTCACTGAGCTTAATGTGACGGGTATACATAGATCAAAGTGACCCAGCTTACACCAATCAAGACTCATCACATCACAGACTTTACTTCAATTTAGATAGGAGCAAAAACTGGTCATGCTGTGTGAGTCCTGTAAGTGTGTGTGTGTGTGTGTGTGTGTGTGTGTGTGTGTGTGTGTGTGTGTGTCTGTCATTGTCACAAGAAATGACAAGGGTGTTTCGTCATGCTGAAGCCGGGCTCGCTTTGGGAGAAAGGGAGGGGAACAGTCAGGGAGGGAGGAAGATGAAAGGGAAGAACTATTTTGAGAAGCCGTGATTTTGTGATGTGGACATCTTTCTCTTCTCTGATTAGAGGCTGGAGCTCCGTGCTGACCTTAAGGTACCAACAGTCACAGCGTGTACACAGGGGTGTGTGTGTGTGTGTGTGAGTGTGTGAGTGTGTGTGTGTGTGTGCAGTGTGTGTTTCTATTTCAGATAATGCTGTGTCTTTGAAACAGCACGTTTGTCATTTTATGCAAGTGTGGCGTTTGTATGGGTGTGAGCCATTTAAATAGCCATCTTTGAGTGTGTGTGTATTTCTGTTTGTGTATCTGCTCTAACAGCTCTAGCTGGCCCGCCTGTCCTGTGGCTATGTCACTCTGTCCTTCCTGCTGTGTGTCCTACCTCTCGGCTACTCTGGCTCCAGGCCATCCCCAGCCTGGCCATGACATTTACACCTGAACACGATGTCTCATCTCTAACACACACACACACACACACACACACACACACACACACACACACACACACACACACACACACACACACACACACACACACACACACACACACACACACACACACACACACACACACACACACACACACCCATCACAGACGAATCTGTTTAGAAAGAAATATAGAAATACTGTGCTTAATATTCTGAACAGAAATAAATGTCATGGCTTTTGCTGGCGGGGACACAATGATAAAAAGCAGGAACAGAATGATCAGAAAAGACAATTTGAAACATTCAGTCTGTTACTTTAGTGCCAACTGTAACTAAAATGAAACTGTTCAATATAGCTTGTGACTGCGGGGAGCTCATCAATAACCTTGTGGAGACAACAACTGACTGATCTAAAAATATGTGATACATAATTAAATAATCAGATTCATTGACAAAGTTACTCATTAGCCTGCTGAATATTATATCAGTATATTGCTGTGTTATGTAGACAATGGTTAAACAGATTGGTTTCCTGTGTTGATACTAGCTTCTAATGACCTTTATCAATGCTGAGAGCCATCTGAGGGAGCCATGTCTGGAATTAGTAAAATTTAAAGTGCAAACATTTGGGGCCTGCTGGAACTGTTTCTTAAAAATATCAAAGACAGAGAAGCATCCTGCAGATTTTATCAAAACTGATGCTGTGATAAGGCCATGGACTCGGGATGTTAGCATGGATTGGCTATGCTAGCTTTTGATTGCATGTGTCGAAGCATTCAGCAAGCCACAGATGTCATGTAATGCTCAGGGAACATAAATCACAAACTAAACTCACTACAAATATACTGAGGATGGTCAAAAAAACCTTGAATAGAGAGGGTGGGAGGGAAACAATCCTATAAGGCCAGTAAACAGAAAGAGATGTACTTAACATGCTGGGTATATCTCTATATATACATATTTAAGTAGGCCTATGTACTGTATATGTACAGTAGCTATATATGCATTTGTGTATGTATTGGTAAATGGACACATGCACATTAATCTCATTCCTTTGACATTCATGGTGCGTTATTTCACTTATAGCCTAGTTTAAAGTCTTTTTTTACTCCTTTGACTAAAATGGGTGTATGTTGGTTCTGAATCCAACATACAGTACCTAGTGCATATATCTAACCTTTATTTAACTAGGGGTTATTTCACGGAGCATAAATGTTGTTTTCCAGGAACGCCCTGGTCCATAGTCACACCTGGAAGCTGCCCAGTACAACCACAGTTAACCTCAGTTCACCAGTGGAGCAGCTGAGCAGCCTTGTTAAAGGGCAGCTCAGCAGTGATAATAAGGGATGTGCAAGTGCGGCTCTTTCACCTTTAGCTGCCACATTTATCGCGCCAGCCGTGAGATTGAACCGGTGACCTTCCCGTCACCCATGTGCTATTTCATTTCTGTGTACTGTCCTCAAGAGGAACTGTACACAGACTGTATTTGTTGTGAGTTTGGTTTGTCATTTATGCTTTGTGTTCTCTGAAGAGGAGGAAGAGAAAATTCTCTGAAATGTGTCACGGCAAGAAGTTCATTCAAGGATGTATCTGCTCTCTTTCAACTGTGTGTGTGATAATATTTCCAAGGACTGAATGCCCATTTAGCGATCTGATACAGAAAACTCAGTATGACTTAAGTGCTGGCATTTCTTTGAGGCACTAATGAAAAAATCAGTTTTGAGCGATCCTGTTTTATTCACTGGGAGTAAAACATACGGTTGATCCTTTTGCTGGTGTCATGGTCTAAATGAGTGAAAAATCAGCAACCCAAAAAGCATACATGCTTTCCCTTCACGATATTCTTTCTGAATCTGACACAAAAATGTCAGAAAAATCAGGACTGACCCTCAAACCGCTCAGCTACTACACCGCCTCAAAACAACACAAATGCTTAAACATGCAGTGAAATCCGCACGCCACCACGTTGTGTATACATGTTAGGGTACCACTTACGCAATCATATACACATACAGTACTACACGCTATCTCCACCCCGATCTCCTCCAACTGTGATTATTGCAGACATCAATAGCATGATGTTGTGGAGAGTGTTGCTATTTTCCCTCGTCGTCCTTCAGTGTTTGTGTAATGGAGCTCAGACTTTTCCGGTTATTGTGCGAGAGCAACAGAGAGAGGGGGGGTTGTGAGTGGCCGGAGTCTGACAGAGCGGGCAGCCAGAATATCTGGGACACACACGCACGCACAAATACACACACGGACAGACTGGCAGTGGCAGACAATCTGTTGGTGGTGGATCAGTGTGAGCAAGAAGAGGACTCACTGTCTCACTAAATACACCGATATGCAAACATATATGAACACAAATGCATGGACACACACAGTCTGCTGGGGGTAATTGGATGAATCAATCTTTTCCGCCTTGATTATGAGAAGTACAACAGAGGCAGTGAGGTAGTTGGACTGGGGTTGGAAAGGGTGACGAGTTAAGTGGGAAGGACTAACTACGCAGTATGTGACAATGAAATACTGTAGACACTGAGGAGTTAGACAGCTAGACGTGAAGAAGAAAAAGATATGAGTGGATGAAGATGAGATGATGAGAAGCCGGTGAGAAAAAGGGGGGTTGTGGCCTGGGATAAGTCTAATCCACACTATCCAGGTCACTTCGGTCTTCCACCTCCACACACACACACACACACACACACACACACACACACACACACACACACACACACACACACACACACACACACACACACACACACACACACACACACACACACACACACACACACACACACACACTTGCAGACAAGCTCAAACAGTAGACTGGATCCAGCCAACACCACTCTGGAGTCCCCTTTAACCAACTGACAGTGAGACTGGAGGATAGGATGGGAGGAAGAGGGAGGAAAGAGAAGGGGAGGTGAAAGGACAAAAGGTTCTGACCTAATGTTGTGCCAGAGAAGAGAGGAAAAGAGCTGGGGAGAAAAAACACTGGGAGATGAAGGCAGGAAGAGGGGGAGGAGGGAGAAGGGAGGGGGTGCCAGAGACCCAAAATAGAGAGACAGAGAGAAAGAGGAAGGGAAGAACGAGGCCTTGAGCAGGGGAAGGGAAGAGGCAAGCTAACCCGAGACAGAGAAGTCGAGGAGAGGGGAAAAAAAAGAGAAGAGCAGCAGCAGCGTCAACACACGTCATTCTCCCTTCCTCTCTCAAGGAAAAACGCTCCACTCCTCCCGTGTCTCTCTCTCTCTCTCTTTCTCTCTCTCTCATCTCCTGTCTCGTTCCGTTGCTCCTTAAAAGACGAGGAGGGAAACAAGACGTGAGAGTAGAGAGATCACGGGGAGGGGGGGCTGGATGAGGGTAATGTGTTGGAGAGAGAATAGAAGGGACGAGGAAGAGCAGCCAGTCAAAGAGAGGTCGCAGAAAGAGGGTGAGAGGCTGGAGAAGAAGGGAGGGAGAAGGGTCATGGGGAGAGAGGGATGACGGAGAGAAAAAGGGAGAGAGAGAGAGGACCTCCTGTGGATCGTCATCTGCCACGTCCATCCGCCCGCGTGCAGTTATACCAGAGTGTTGCTCCTAATTCTTAATCGCTGTTAATCCCTCTGCCACCCATCATCTCTCTCTTTCTCTGGCTTTCACTTTCATTTCTCTCCCTCATTTCACAACAGCCTGCAAGCTATTAATAAAGCCTGAGCTGCAACTGACAATTATACACATTACAGATTAATCTTCTGATTTTTTTTTTTTCAATTAATCAATTCTAAAAAATTACATCGTGTTTAGCAAACGCTTTTGTTCTTCGAAGTGACTCATTTTTAAAAAAAAATTTTTTTAAATAGAGGGGATTCAGTGGACACACCCTAACCCTAACCCAAGGACACAGGGAGGGGCCGGGTATTGAATCACAAACAATATTAAGTTTAAAATAATGTAAAACAGAGAATAGCAGCAAATCACTGAAGGAAAGAAGGAGGAACCAGAGAATTTGGGCTTTTTTTTGCTTGAGAAATGATTTCAACGATTGAAGTTAAAATACATAAAAGTTGTTGATGAATTGGTTCTCCATCTATATAATAATCCCGTGGTTGCCAGTCTTCTTGTCTTGTGACCCCTTTAAAAGCAAAGCAGTGTCTACTTGTGAATCTTGTCACAGGTTGCATATGTCTGATTTATGAGTCGTCCATCAGCGACGTTCCCTTTTTTCTGTTTCATTTCAATAGTTTTAGAGGCCTCAAACTATCCAATATTTCACCACACGAAAACAAAGATTAGGGAAAAAAATAATTTTGTCTCGCATAAATATGTTTTCCCTTCTTTCTCTTAAGATAAATCTGAGGGGTTTCCACCTACATCATATAGGTATTCCATTAATTTGCAGCTGCAGAAGCCAAGATATTTAGTCCCTAGTATGGGTCAAGCTCCGAAAACACTGAATCCTACATTTCCCATAATACAACTCAACAGTGTCTTTCATCAGAACCCCCACTGCCTCCTGAATACCTATTTATTTCAAACCCCACACCTCCAGTGAACACAGACTATTAATGACATCAAGGTTATGTCTTTCAAACTTTGGAAAACTTCCTCCAAAACCAAAGAAAAGATCACATAAGTGTGGCGTACCCCTTTAACAATCTCCTTCCTTTCCATTCCTCTCGGTTTCTCTCTCACTTCCAAAAATCGAAATATTGAGAGCTAAGGATACGAAACACCTGAGTGGGCACAGAGTTAAACACTGCAGTCTCACTAACTGGTTACTTCCTCTCTCGAACAGTGTCAACGCGGATGATTCCAATAAAACTGTGGTGTTGACAGTTATTGTCTGAAATGGAGAACCTAACACTCTGCCAGAGGACTATGAGCTATAATGAAGAGAATGTATTGTGAGGTCAGACGGGGCAATGGGTCTGCGCTGAGCAATTAACGGAGTGAAATGGAGCCGTGAAGCTTTTATTGACATCTGTGTGTGTGTGTGTGTGTGTGTGTGTGTGTGTGTGTGTACTGACCGGTGAAGAGGTCTCCGTTGCTGTAGGCCTTGCCGCGTCCCTCCTCATCGTTTGGCACGGCCGACACCTGCTTGGCCGAGGTGCAGCCCATGGCCTCACACTCTGAAACCTCTCCTCATCGCACTCTCACCTGGCCGAGGACAGAGACAAACATTGTAAAATGAAAGGCTGCTGCTTTTTACTATCTCAACAAGTGCTGTACTGTTTGTTCAGATATGGTGAGTGTCACTCATGCTAACTAACCTCTTCTTCTTTATTCTGAGCAAACTGGGTCATTCAATGTGAAATACTTCATACAGTATTTTCTCCAAACATTTGCTTCTACTTTAAAATACTCTGATCTGCAAATATATTCAATTCAACAGCTGCAAACAGTACCAACACTTTCAGAGCAGATGCTTGTCTTATTTCATTAGAAAAATACATTTAGCTACGTTTTGGCCATCCTGTATTAAGACTTTGAGGCAGGACATGTAAAACGCATTATTTCCCTCCACCTTACAGTAGCATGTCTCTAACAACTGGTGTTCAGAGCCACGAACGTAGGCTGAGTCATAATACATCAGTAGAAAAGTGAAGTGAGCATTTATATGAAAATGTTGCAGATTATTACTACGACCTCGTAACAGTTCGTTTTAGGACTAAACATAACCACTGTCATTATGTGTGGAGAGCAGAATCAGCAGGGTAGCCCAGTGGGTAAGCAGACTAGATTATCTGGTTTGAAGTAAGGCAATAAATAAATCAGTGTTTTGATTATATTCATATTAGATTAATTAATGTATTATATAATGTCACTGATTATCTTCCTGATTGATAAATAAATTAAATGTAGTAGTAAATTAAATACATTTTAAAACTCTTAAAACATAAGGATTAATTCCAATCGCAAAACAAACACAACTGTTTCCTTATGTCTTAAAAACAGTCAAAGAGGATTCAAAAATAAAAGCTGCAAATCCTGAAATTTGAGAACTTAATTTTTGGTATTTTTATTTGATTAATTACTTAAAGCAGTATTATTAGTTTGGGGTTTTTTTTACTGTTGGGGGTCAGCAGGATAAACTGTTAACCCAACCTTGACATATTATCACCTTATAACGTTGCTATTGTGAATGCATTAGCAAACTGTAGAGTATTAACACATCCAGCAGAAACAAAGCAACATTAGCATTCACTTAGAATCGTGTTTCTGCACATCAAATGGATTTAAGTCTAATATTCACTCTCCTTTTAGCTGTGTTTTTTTCTCCACCAACTCCCAAAGGAAATATGTGGCTCTTTTGCTGCTACATGCCAAAGACAAGTGCTAAACTATGTTCACCAGCTAGTTTTCAACATTGTCTATCTCCTGTCTGACTGGAAAAACAAAACAATTAGCTTTTAAGACACTAAAATCCTCTGTATAACTGAGGGGAACTGCAGTTCTCTGTGGGTTCATCACTACAAGCAACTCCTTCACATTGTAATCATTTGATCCATTGTTAATATGAAAATATTCATCAGTGCAGCTTTAAAATGAAATTGAAATTGATGTTGTAAACCAAACAGCTCCCTCGTAGCACCATGAGGCTGGGAGTCTGGGCCTAAAATAAACATGACACTTGGTTATTATTCAGAAAACAAGAAAGCTAAGCCCTCCCATTCACAGGGCCAGCTGACACTGAAAAGAACGTCACTGTCAGTCAATCACAGACACTGTCAGACACATTACACTATAGATAGTCTCCATGTCACTCACACATGCCATATGCTGTCATTGACAGAGCCCATCTGACTGCTGCCAGTTAGAAAAATGCACACACACATAGAGGCAGCCAATGATTACCCATCACCAAAAATGAAATCTGCAGCGACAGTACAGAAGTGAGCGGTGGAGAGGATGAGGAGAGCGGAGTGGACTGAAGAGGCTTTTTGGAGAGGCAAAAAAGACAAAGAATGGGAGGAAGTAGGTGGGGGGACAGGGGTGAGGGAAAGGGTGGAAAATAGGTGGGATAGAAAGAGACCAGAGAGAAAGACGAGTGCAGAGCTTCAAAAGAGCGCCGCGTGCTCCTCCTCCCTCCTTCAGTGATCCTCGGAGCGTTTGAAGTTGACAGGAGGCCAGTGTTTACTCCTGTGTTTAGGCTGCGGCCGACCAGCCTCCATCCCTCCGGACACAACACAAAGCGCCAGGTGTACAGGGTGCAGGGAGCGGTGTGATGGTCGCTGTATGAGTTAACTGTATGGATGGCTGTGACCATACTGTATGTTGTATTTTTTATTGTACTTATAACCATCGTTCCTAACTAGTAATAGGTTACAAAACAAACAAGATGGTTAATTGATTGTACAGGTTACAATAAGGGATTGTTACTGAGTATTCAGGTGTGCTCACTTTCAGTTTGACATTTCTTTCCCTGTCAGACTTCCTTATAGTGCCGTCACCACGTTCATAGACCTCAGCAATAAACTTGGTGAGTTTATGTGAAACTACTATTATATTAAAAATTGAATATTCAGTCTATAATGAGAATCAGAATCAGGATAATCTTGAACATCCTCTCATGGCGTGACTTGAAAAAGCTGTCCAGCTCTCCAGCATACAGTCCTATATTGATTTCCTCATTTATATTGAACAAGGGAACAAGAGGGAGCTGCATTTTTCCAGTCATTCCAAAATCCTAAGCCTGTCACCGTGGCTAAAGGCTCAGCTCACCCGATGTATCCCATACAAAAAAGCAGTTCAACAGGATGTGTGGAAAAAGTATAGATTCCAAAACAAAGAAGAAAGAAAACAAAATGTAGGGTAAAGTGATTCCAGTATGTTTTAGTGCCATTTTAAAAGTATGAAGTATTTCAATGAGTTAGTTACTCCCTCACAAGGGAGGGTGAAGCTACACTGCTAGATGTCACAAAATCCTACACACTGGACCTTTAACATGAACACATATTTTTGATAAGGTTTCCTTAAATTTCATTATTAGAATTGTATAGTGGAACATTTTACATTTGTCCATGATCTCCTTCAGACAAACTGTTATGGAGACAGTGTTATAAACTACTTCAAGTATATTTTTGGCATTTCAGCACTGCAATCTCTTATTACTTATCGACCACCATTTACACCATCACCAGTATATCAGCAATACGCTAACATTGGCTCATATGTTGGCCTAGCCATTGTATTGGATATTGGAATCGACACCATACATGGGAAAACTAAAAGGCAAGGCTATAAAGGCGGCTGTACAGTGCCCTGAAAGTATTAATGCACTTGAGTATTGCAATATTATGTTTTATGACAGATGATGAGTGTTTCTCAGAGTCACTGTATGGATTTTGTGTTTAAACCCCAACTACTCCTACAAGTCCTACAAAGCAGTTCAGTTTTAAAAAGGTGGCAGCCCTATAGTAAGTAATGTTATAATCAATAGCCAAAACTGAATACAATATTCAAGGTTTTAATCAATTATCCTTTGATACTGATGTAAATGTGTGAGCTGTGTGTATGTTCAGTACAGGCTGAGGGAATTTGTATTTGAATCTTTTTCTCAGCTCTCGAGGTATAACGACATTAATCTCCAGAGCCTGAGCAGAGCTTACACCTGAATTTCTCAAAGGGCCCGCGGGTGAGAGGAGGCTGTAACCGGGGAGAGAGAATCAAGAGACTCAAACACGCACTAGCTTGTGTGTGGTTGTGTCACCTGTGGCCTGAACTCTGTGTGTGTGTGTGTGTGTGTGTGTGTGTGTGTGTGTGTGTGTGTGTGTGTGTGTGTGTGTGTGTGTGTGTGTGTGTCCTGGTCTAGAGAGCAGCTTATCAGCCCATTCCAGGCAGCCTGGGACACCTCTTACTATGACTGCCGCTCTGGAGCAACTCAATTACGGCTCACACACACACACACACACACACACACACACACACACACACACACTCATAAACCCACATAGACACGCGCAGCTGGATGGTCTTAATGCAGTCTCAGACACGTCGTCACAAAGGGACTTTAGCAGTAAAGTTTCAAAAATAATCTCATCCAGCATAATCTGTCAGTCGCTTAAATGAGGATTCCGCTCTGAGGAGGACGAGGTGCGTTGCCGGAAACGCTGCCGCGGGGGGCACATGTTACCTGTCAGAGGATCACGGCATAGTGAAGCAGAGAAGCAAAAGACAAAAGACAAAGATGGAGAAAAAAAGCACAGACATCCACAGAGAAAAGACAAGAGAGGGAACAATCAAGTTTCTCTTAACTGAGCTATTAGTGTAGCACTGATGTGAATATTAGATTAGCAAAGCAAAGAGACTCCCTTCTGATACCACTGAAGGAAGTGCACTGAGAAATCTGAGCAGCCTTGACAGATTTTAAGTTTCAAAGGGTCTCCAGTGTGTGGGCAGCATCTGTTTGAAGGGCTTTGATTTGTGTGTATTGAAACATCAAATTGTGAGTAGGAACAGGCTAAAAATAGACCTAGCAGTCCCAGAGCTATTGTTGTGTGCAGGGATAATGCTAGGCTGTGTGAATCTGTAAGCCAAGCTGCTATTACTTGGGTTATACATACAGTATAAGCTACAGCTAGCGGGCCGACTATTACAAAGACAAATACACCTACAAATAAATAACTGTGAGGCCTGTAATAGGGAACAGGATGACGTAAAAATCAGTTGTGTTGAAATTCAGGTCAAGAAGTCAAAAATGGTGTTTTGCAAGATGCTGGTGAAAATGGTAGCAGCTTCTTATTACTCACGGTCTGTCTACACTCACGAAATAATGGTGAAATCTACAAAATCCTCTACTGAGAGTTATTTTTGGGATGCTTGGCTTGATGGGAGACGTGCAATGTTGATTCTGGCATTATAATTTAATTTAAAAAAGGAAGTACTTTCAAGACTATTTAATCATTAACAGAGAATCTGAGGATTTTGTTGTCTCAAATGCAGCGATGAAGCAGGGATTCCCATCGTTCTCACAAAAAGATTACCACAGCGCTAGGAAATAAGAAAAAAATAACTTTTGCTACACAAAATTGTATTTCTTTTACTGGCTTTTGTCCGATTTTTGGCTTGTTTTTTGTCAAATACTCAACTGGCATCGCATTTTGCCTCTTTCGGCTGTTTGAAATGAAACAGTCAGCGAGGGGAAAATTACTTTTGGA